CGGACTGGTTGGCGGTAGTCTGGTAAATAAAAAACAAGCAAAATCCATTTCCCGTTATCATTTCACTTTCATCGTGTAACGTTAGAAAAATGTTTATCGACTAGTTGTGTCGCTCGTTTTTTCTCGTGGATCACGTGCCACATACTCGTCCTGTATCATTTTATCAGCGAAGGGATCTTGTGCGAACCCTAATCGTTTAGAGTGATGAAAATTGCGCATATACACCCCTTCCCCAGAACCAACTCATCTCCGCCATACTCATTAATCAAAAAGTGTATATTAGGGTATAGCTATGATCTAGTGGTGTTGTGAGTTCGTCACGGCTGACTGACTCTATAGGATATCGTCCCATCATGCCTCGGGTCTCCCCACCCGGAGTATGGGTGGCATAAGCTCCTGACGACTCCACGCAAACAAAGTACCACTTTTGTCGTCAGCCCTTTTGAAACGAGAACGCTCTTCTATCATATGCCTAAGTATTTCATAAGAAAACGTTGCACTTGAATGCTTTTAGCTAGTTTTCCCTTTAATCATGCTGAATATATTTTTGATATGTAAACTTAACGTAAAATGCTTTCGACAGTCACGAATATGATTTATGGCCGCCATTGGAGGCAAATTTGCTCGATAACTTTCGGACCTGTCAACCATATCGTGTGGAGGAAATCGCAGCCTTTTGTCGTCAGCTCGACGACGTCGTAGGTAAATCACAGGTAGATGAAGTAGACATCATTAACAATCTAGAGTCGCGGTACCACCGTTTGAAAACACATATATCATACATGATATCAGGGTAGGTGGGTAGGGGTGTTTGCTGAGGGAATACATCAATGTAGACGGTCGTGACAGCCGTACAGTGAAACTATTTAAGATAAAAGCGAAATTTTCAAAATGCAGTTAATAATGACGTAATTTTCATAATGTATTTATAAATTTGAGTATTCCAGAATGTCCTAAGAAATGGTATTGGTATTATTTTATAATATTAAATGTCTTTAAGTGCTTTGTGAAAGTCTGAAATTAAGGTTGGATAAGGAGACATGACAATGCATGAAATTATACATTCAAGTAATGCCAAAATATCCCCTTTTGCTCTGCTTCGGCTTCACTAATGTCCATGTACTATCCAGTGCATATTTGAAAAGGATAACCCACAGCGTTAACGTATCGTATAACAGATTTATAAGTATTAGCTAAAACATCTTAAATATACATATTAATACTTAATAAACCAGAAATATCACAATTAATTCTTTCCATGCGCGCAACATTGTTTCCATCACTTGTGCTGTTAATAATGACGTTTTCAGTTACCACAGTATGGCGTTTTCGTGGATCCATTGTTTTTGGGAGATACCGAAATATTCAGTGGAAAAATTCCAGTGAAACTAATGGCTGCTGGTGCTATATGGAATGCATTGAAACGTTCTGTCCGTAAGTCTACCACTAAATGAAAACAGACCTTGTAAACGAGAACAAAATTTAATGTTTAATGTAAATGGACAATATCTCTGAACATTTACAGTTATTGTTAATATTAATGTACATTTGCATAAAATAAAGGTCCTTTAAATGAACGCAGTACATTTGTATAATTCTATGAAACTGTTTAAGAAATTAGATAAGACAATATTGATGAAGTAGCTCTTATAACGTGTGACGCATTTCAAAGATTTCATATATTTTGTTATCATATTAATTTCTCCCTCCCAACGGAAATACCCGTTCATTGTGGTGTTTTATATACAGCTACTCAAGTTTATAGTCTCATACCGTGAAATTACCGCCGTGAAACAAGTAAGATTTTGTATATTTACAATTTAAAATTACAAAGTACGTAAATTCAATAAAAGCTTTTTTTTAATAAGTGTAATTCAAATGACATTCACAATAGTATCAAGTTGTGTTTGCAAAGAAATTTTCTTTAAAACGGAACTTATCTTAAGAAGCTCGTGAGCAACTTAAGCAATATTAGTAATTTTATACTTATGTATCAACCATTTAAATAATGTTTTATATATCCATAAAAATCTAAATCAATACTAAAATCAGGTTGATGACAAATGTATTGTTTTCATTCGGACAAACATGTGATTCTTCATTTTAATAATACGCTTAAAATCGTTTTTGTATTGTCCTTAAACCTTAACATGACTTTCCTTGTTAAAGTTGTTTATTTCAATTATTTCGATCTGGTAAATGTTCACTTGCTTTCATAGTTCACTCAAACGTTGTTTCAATGAACTGTCGACAGCATGTATGCTATCTAAAACCTTGAGTATATATATCGCACACAAAGCCGACATTCCTCTCGCTTTTATCATAGATAATTAAAGCCGCTATATAATAATGTACATGGCTAATTATTTAATCGCCAGTGTGCGTGAAGAGGTGGTGCCGCTTCGTTATGACTTCTTTGAAGTCGTTGGGAACAATTACAAGGTTGTGAGATTATCCCAAAACTGTTTGTCATGCAGCTGATGTTTGTAAATGTTCTATGTAATCTCACTTGTTCTCAAATATAAGTATATATTTCTTGGTAAGTAAAACGATTTGTTGTTGTCCTTTGAGATTGTTCTAATTAAATGATGTTATAAATATTCTCTGGTCAATTAAAAACGTTTGTTGTCATTTCGTTGGCTTACACGTTAATCTGAATATAGTTACAAACAGGCTCGGGTCAATTAAAAAAGCATTTTATCAAGAATAAACTCGCAAGTAAAGACGACACTCTGGGAACAGCTGTAGCCGGCTGAATTAAACGTTTAACAGAAGCACGGTAAAGTTTCACTGAGCTCGAGTTATTAAATGTTTACGCACTGTGGTCCAATGTTTATTGCTTCCAAATTTACACTTGCACAATGATAGCACAGGTAATTCGTTTTGAAGAACTCACAAGCTGTTATAATTATTTAGGTCCTGTTTCGACATCGTACCTTTAACTTATGGGTATAAACGTTTAGATTAATGTGTAACACATCCATACAAAAATTCATTTCCATATATCTATCTACCAAGGTCCGTTCGTTTCACATTATGTACAGGCCTAGATTTTAGTCTTAATCATATTTTAATTCTATGACAGGAAACCAGATACTTACCATACTGGAATACAATCAGAGCTGTATAAATCCGACCCTATAACTCTACATCTGCAGCAGTTCTACTTAAGTCTTTTTTATCGGATGATAATTAATTTCCAGTCTTTTATATCGCCTAAGTTTCACTACCACATTCATTCAGGTCCTGTTACGAAGAAAATTGTTAAACTTTACTTGAAGTTAATAAACAAACCGTTCTACCCGGTTTTACATCCAGTTTTTGTATCTCGGTATCTTTTACCAATGCCAATGGTGGATACCATTCCTTCGTTTCTTATTTTGAAGATATTTTATTACATTTTATATCAAAAGATATTTTTTCAAAATATATATATGAGAACAATTCCTTGCGAGTTTGCCATTATGGATTTGATGTTGATTTACCTCAAGCCTATGATACATGTTTAACACTATATAAATTATAAAAACAATTCTGATACGATACGTCCGGTTTGATTAAGAAATTATCAATATGTTCGAACGAGATAAAATAATAAAATAAATAAAGAAAGAATAAGGTTTTCTCGCTGTCATCTAGAATATTTTAACGGTTCCTATAACACAAATTAAAACAATCTATGTCAAGCATCAATCGAAAGCACCAGGATTTGCAAGCTCTGAATATTTATGGGCTTATTAGTTTTTTCTATTGTATTATGCAGAAGCGATTCTTGCATATTTAATGAAAATAAAACATATCAGAACGACAATGGTGTGATTTTACTGCAGCGCAATATCATCTGTTTTACATAGGTTTGGCATTATAACTTGTGTGACTTTTCATTGTTAACGTACTAAATCAATACACTTTAATATTTGACCAATTTGGTCCGGATATTTCCAAGGTTTACCATTCATTAAAATGAAGACATATGGATTTACTTCGAAAACTGTGATGAACAAATATTAACGATATAATATATCTATCAAATGTTATAAGAACGAGAATGTTATTGATAAATATGTTTATTTCTACGTAATTACTTAATGAAAAATGATGCTATTTTGATTGATAGCATTCAAATTATGGGGGAGACCAGGTATTAAGCGGGTGCAATGCTAGGTATATCTCTAACGAGAAATCCTGTTACAGGTTTCAGCGAGTCGTTGGCTGTGTGTCTATACAGGAGAACTGAAAGGTTAATACCGACACAGAAATTCGTGAATACAGGAGTTGGTACTGCTCCTTTCTGTGTCACAGGCGTCTCACCGTGCAAATGAAATGAAAACACCCGCAGGCGTCAAAACAAATCCACAAAGATTCGGGCCGTCATTCGCCCTGGGCTTTATTGTGTCCCTGTAAAAAGCAGGGTAGGACTGAAATTGGAAACCTTTTCTTAAAGCTTACAGACATTCACTGTCCACGTTTGAATCTTGTGGACGTACATTTAAGGAATTTACGGTCTGGGAAAACACCATTCAAGTTAGTAGTATTAAAAGGTCAGCAAACTACAGCGTCCGATTCCATACTCGTATGAAGCTGTTTGTTATAAACAAATTTGCATTTCCGGAAAATATATACAAGTTATGTCTTCAACCTAACATCTTCAACCTATCACAAATATTATTAAATCTTTTGTTGACTTTTAGAATATTTTAGAACCATTGACAAAACAATCCAAAATATATAAACACATCTCAAAACAAATTCTGACCCTCAAACCAAACCTGCTATTGATTCTAACCATGATATATGTGTATTGAAACAGCTTTTTTAAAGAAAAAAGAACAAAACAACTCGACTTTACGTTCATGGTAATTTCAAAAAAAAAATCATCCTTAAAGCAAACAAATATCAAAAGGAGATTGGTAAGTCTGAATTGAAATAGATGATTGTCCAAACGAGTTTTCATTTGATACATTTTAAAGCTAAACTAAAAATTGAAAAAACAACCGTACCTGAATGACCCTCATGTTGAGTCCCGTTTCCTGAGCTAGCTGTTCCCGGATGTGACGTGTTGGTTTAGGAGTAGCATTAAATGCTGACTTCAAAACTTCCAATTGTTTTGCTTTTATTGTAGTCCTTGGTCCTCGCCGTTTGGCTCCGGCAGTAGAATTAGCACTTCCTTCAACCAATTCCTCGCACGATCTGTCATCCCCCTCGGGTGTCGTTTGACCCGGGTTGGGAGGAATAGAATTTCCATTCGTGTCACAACTTTGTGTACTATGGTTCGAGTCTGAGGATATTTTAAGCAGAGCTGTATCGTCCTTTAGAGGATCGGGGCTCGAGGGGATTGAGTTCATGTCGTTTTTGTTATTGATGATGTTGTTGTTGTTGTTGTTGTTATTGGTAATGTTTGTGTTGTTGTTTAATGTGATACTAGACAATACGTTTTCCTTGGTGTCTATTTCTGTACTGTTTTCACCATCGATGCTGAAGTCTCTGTCTGAAAGGTTCGCCGTATGCTCCAAATGGTCGAGTTCTGCTTCGTCCTCTATATCTGAAGAACCTGGGAAATTAGAAAATAAAAAGAGTTATCAAAATTTGTCCTCATTACTTTGAATTCTAGACATAATATAAAAAAAATAGCTAGGATACAAATTCAGAGAATTTTAACCGTTTAGAAAGTAAAAAGGTATAAAAAAAAAAATGACAATATTTCCCTTTCAAAATATCAAAAGATGAACTGTATGCAAAATTTTGCACAGCAATAAAACCATACATTTTGAAACATAAGCAATATTTTATAGACCATAGCAAATCATCAACTCATACCCTGTAGTAATGAGCATTACATATAAAAGGTATAAATCATTTAACTCCATAAAGTATAATATTTATCAGAGGACATTGTATGACATGCCTCCAGAGCAAATCAAAGCATACTGTTTCAAAATTAAATGTTCATGCAGATATGTATCTTCTATATTAAATGCAGACCATGGAATGCTTGGAATTCAATAAAGATAACATGAAATTCTCGGTTAGTCAGCAAGAGCACTTAAATAAATGATTAAATTTGCATGGTGTTGTTCAGATTTACACAAATAATCCCACCCCATATATAACCTCCACGAGGCATTTAACCATTCCTATTTTTACAGCTCCAACTAACACCCTTCTCACGTTATTCCGGTTTTCTAAGAGCTGATAAAATCGTAAGCTGTTTTTGCCAAAAATAAGAAACACTTCTTTGTCATTTTTTAAATCAGTAATAAAGACGAAAGGTTATAACGATGGGACATATAATTTGTATTAAATCGAACTCAGATAGGGATAGTCTCTTGAAACTACAATGAACAAACGGTTATCTTTTTAAAGCCGTAGGAAAAGCACGTGCGTATCTAAATTGTTTGTACGTCGAATATGAAATAATGGATTCCTTGCATAAAACTGGGACATTTTTTTAATTTTCTGTCTTCGTTATCAGGTCTACATGTACAGTTACGAGCGCGCGAGATAACCCCGCGACTTCAGACCCCGAATTAACACGATGTTGAGCGATACGACTAGTATTATAAAAATTATCGTCCTCAGAAGTAGTAACGGGAGACGGGGAAAACATACCCCCTCCAGAGTGCTAGATAACACCATCACAAATGCATCTTTTTATTTTATATCAGGAAATAAATCCAAAGAAATGTTTCATAAAACAGTATTTTCAAAACAAAAATCACACACTTCATTCTATGGTGTATGGAGGTCTATGAATTTGTAACATTTAACATTCTTCACGTACTTAAATTATTGAAAGTGGATTTTTTTAAAATATGTATATCGAGTTCCATATGCTTTTCATTAAAAAAAACTACAGCCGTCAGTTACACAGTACGCCCAGAAACGGTCCAAGTTTGCAAATGTTTCCTCATATCTATTATAAATTCATATTTTGTGAGAGAAAAGTAAGCGGGCATTTGAGTTCAAAGGACCCGAGTTTAACATGGTTCTAGAGAAACATTTAGCGGCGGACGAGACACCGGTCACAGCACGACTGCCGATTAGGGGGACTATTTATTACATCCGCGGGAGAATTTCCTCCTGATACCTGCCGAGTAATAATGACCAAAGTGTCTGAAAACACTTCGACAAAATTCGGGTGCCACTTATTTTAACGACTTTAGAAAAAAAAAACATCGCCAAAGTGCAGCTTAAACGTACATTTGGTATTATTTGTTTAGGTAGTAGAATCAAGTGCATTGTGCTTTTGACAGGCAAGCGAAATGCATGTACAAGAAATCATATAAACACAAGGTATAATATGTATATATACACATATATATTTGTATATCGGATTATATCAGTTACAGGCAACATACGTAACATAATAAATAAAGTAAAAATATAGATGATTTTCATTTTAAAAAATATATACAAATTTAATATCGCATATTTAGTAGTGGAAAATAAATAATAATAGCGTAGTAGTTTTCACCAAATCAGCACAAATGTTTAAGAACTGTAATGGTATATAAAGAATGTAAGTTAACAAAACTATAAATAGGTTATCCTCACAGCTTTAATGGGGTTTTTCATGCGAAAATAATTTTAATATGAAAAACATTGTTTTGTTCTCGTCGTATTTTCAATGAAAATAAAAGAAAATACTGAAGTTGAACAAGTATTTCTAATAATAATCACATAATATCGAATCATATTTCTTATATATAAGTATATGATATATTGAATTTTGACCTCACTATAACTAGTATACCAGCATGTAACATAATCTGAAATATGTAAATTGATCCGCATAACGTGAGACAAAGGGAAAGCTAGGAGAACCACACGCAATCAGACCCGGCTCGTGTTTCCCTATTCCTACACAGGTGTTACCATTATACTCACTAATACCAATGTCTGTATCTCGGGGCTACAGATTTCACGGAATAGCATAACAGGCCAGAATGGGTTCCACTAACGAGATTAGGGAAACCCTACACGAGATTTCACAAGTCGGTGCGAGATTACAAGCATGCAATACATGCACTTTACACAACAACAGTTTGACCCGAAAACCACGTTACGTTCACGACATCATTCGTTATTCCCTAAACGACTTCATAGGAGTTCATAAGTGTTTTACTATCAAACAAACACATTGCGTGTTTGATGTGTTCTAGGATTAATTATTGGGAAATTTTTAAAAAGTGTCTTCTTTTGCATATAGTGCAGTCGTTCTAATAATACTGTATTCCTTGACATTCAGTAATCCCACAATGTAAAACAATATTCCATATAAATTCTATAATTTAATTAACTATTGGCTATTAATAATTTTTCAAGCTTGTCCCCTTTTGTATGTAGTAGGTATACCCGATTTCTTATAATATAAACATTCCTTGACATGTCCTTAGAAATGGTAATTGCAAAATGTAAAATAGCGTTTAATATATATTTTACATTGTTTTCTTTTCTATATTGATGTTTAGACAATAAATCAACGAGATGTTTGACAAAGCATTGTTGGTGTCTAATATGCCTGTTCCATCACCTTAGTAATTCTAAACATTTAGTACAGACGAACGTATCAACAATAGGAATCGTTGATTATCACCTATGTTTCAATAAAAACATTGGTGAAATGTGATATTTTTTCAGGAACACTAACCAAAGCAATATAATTGATGCAATATCGATATTTGAATTAAAACAAATATTAAAGTAAAAATATGTAGGTAACAGCGTTACAGTTAAAATAGCCTTTATATATTTGTATCACATATTGTTCGTACAGAAAATCTTTAAATAACAAATGTTTTTTTGTACTTTCAAGAAAATGATGAATGAGGCTGGGAATAACAAATATTTGTCTGTAGCGCGTTCTTTGTCAGAGTACCACAACACGACCTAACAATCTGGAAGATTATTGATTAGAAGCGACGTTTTCTAAACAACTATCAACCATCCTCGCCAACTGACCTATAAACAGCAATATTATTGACAGCTGATATGCATTCTTTGTTCAGATACTGGTACGACAACCATGTCCAATAGCTTCATGAATATGTGTATATTTGAACATGTATATGTGTTTTGAGAGACCGGAGACCCAGCCAATCAAGGCACAGGGATAACAACGTGCTTACAAATAGCCAAGATGTTAATTCGATTTTTTGAGCCTAAAACCTTCTATTTAGACCTTGTTTAGCATCTTAACACATTACATTAGATTCCAAAGGGAGCGATTAGTCCCCATCATTAGACAGAACTGAGCCAGCAGGTCCTGGGCGAGCTTCGGATCAATGCTTGGTAAGCGAAGGCGAGCGTGAACAATTCGGGAAGCAACACCCTGATGAAAAGCGCTGTTTATTTGTGATAATGAGAGACGATTGAGTCTGTGGGGTCAATTTGTGTCGCATCCCCTCTAATAATACCCTCTTTTATTATCTCCCATGAAAATGAAAACACGAAACAGACAAGAAAGAGAAGTCGACGTCAACTTCGTTAAATGTTGGACGCAAATCGAGTTTGCGGAACCAATAATCACGTTAAGCGGAATATTTTAGCTGCCAACAGTTAAGTGTTCCGTTTGTTCCTTCAAGAAATATTTTGCGGTTTATTTGTGTGTTTGTTTTTAATGTTTTATTAGTTTTTCTTCAGGTTTCGAAGGATATTATACGGTTGTTTGGCTTTATTTCCGTATAGACATAGAAAGCATGATCGAATAAATTACCACCGGCTATAAAAGACGCCCACAAAGAAAAGAAAAATTATACAAAGCATTATTGGGAATCGGTACACAAACGTTTGTATCAACTCGACAACCGAAATTTTATCAGTTTCTGAATATTTTTGAAAAGGTTTCGTTTCAAGGAAATATATCAACTAGCATTAAGACTTCTTTATTCTCAATCCTGATTAATTTGATTGAAATGATGAAAATATATCATGAATCTGTCTGCTAATGGGAATTGCACTACCAACACATTGGTAATTTGTGATATTTTCCAGAGCCGTTACTATTCAGAGAAATATATATTTTATCTTGCGTTCCATAACCTTTGATTCTAGATTAAATGTGGATTACTCCACATAAATCAATTGGTAAGAAGTAATATATTCTTATTACAAAACTGTGTATAAATGTAGTTAGCCCGTTTTTCAATTCCTGGGTTGAATATACCTATCACATACAGATAGTCTAATCTTAGCATCTCCCTGTGACGTGTGTGGTACAATTTATCTGCCCCGTTATTAAAGTATTACACTCTTTAATGAGCATTTGATTAAAGAAAATATGCCTAAAATCTTCAACCTTGATCAAAGATGAGATGGAGTAATAAAGTCCCTATATTTCTCCATGTGTATTCAACTAGGAGTCGATAAGATAAACGGAGTTTATTTGGCTTTCCTGAAGGAATAAAAACTACTAGGTATATACTATATATATTAAATCTACTACTTATGCATCTTTTCTCCAGACCACACCAGAAAGCGACAGAGGAAGTAACAGGGGTTTTCTATACTACCCGTGAGAACTAACAATTCCAAGCATCTATCTTGATCCAA